CACATTAACAAGAGAATTCTGAGTAAAACCAAAGTTACTTTACCTAGTAACTAGTTACTCTGAAAGTAACGAGTAACTTGAAGTAACTGAGTTACTTTTGATAGAAGCAACTAGTAATGTAACTAAGTTACTAATTTAAAGTAACTTACCCAACACTGTTGATATGTTTATGCAAATCAAAAAAAGGTTCTTCTAGAAATTTGTTGATTTGAGATGGAATGACCCAGAAGCAAAAATACACCTCTATTAGCTTGGATGATTTCAAAGATACACTTAGTTCTAGGAGAACCAGTTCACTTAAAATGAAAAAGATTAAAATGTTGGTAACTGGCAAAGCAAAATCTCATGTATCTGCTAAAACTAAATTTGATTGATTGGCTATAAAATGTATAAAACGATTGAGCTTCACTAAAACAGCCAGTCTGTTGGGGTCAGAATTGCTTCTAGATTGTAGGGGATCAAATACCTTTCTCACTCAATAACATGCCAATCAATTTATAACTTTTATGTAATGTTTTTCTGGATTTTTGGATGGCATCAGTTTCTCTCCAATAAAACGAAACTACAATAAAAATTAGAGAGTACCCATTTCTTCGTAAATGAGGAAATTTAAGAATTCAACACGGATCAAATATTAATTACCCTCACCTGTAGATATAGTGTCTGTCTTATTAGAACCATACCCGAAACCGAACTAAACAGAAACTGTAACAAGCTGATAATAAACTATAACAAAGACATACAAAATAAATAAATAAATAAAAAATCATCACCATCTCCTCATGTTGAAAATATATAAAGAGATTTGCCACAATCTCGCGTGCAAATGGTGTTCCTCGATCTACAGCTTTGCACTGACTGATTTTCCCAGAACGCTCAGCATGAAACAGCAGTTTTTTCAAACCATTTATTAGGCTTAATGGGAAACTATGGAGTGTTTGTATTTAGTAAACCTCTGTTTTGTAGTAATATCTTATCAGGATTTCGATTATAAACGGCTTTTATATCTCATTTGAAATCATGTATGTCGATTCAAAGGACAATCTATGACCTTCCTTGATTGTCAGGATGCAGCGTTTTGGATTTCTAAAATGACCATAGTCTCGTTGAACTTAATTTACTAGAATATAGCTTTTTTCACCACTGCGTAAACACCTTGATCTGCAGTTACATCAGCACAAAAAGCAAGGACAGGCAGCATTTTCTACTTACCGTCAGCGTCGCTGGTCAGCAGAAGCGCAGATATCGGCACCAAACTACAGAGTATTACGTAAAATTTGCTTCGCATTAAATTATCGCAATCACAGCCCATGAAAACAGTCATTGCTTTTTTCCAGGAGAAACAGCCAGGATGACGTCAAGTTGTATTGAAATTAGTCTGTCTCTTTTTTTCTTTCTCTCTCGGAGCCTGGGAGCTTGAGGGTCCTGCACACTATCTTAGCTGTTCCCAGGACTGCGCTCTTCTGGACAGAGATCTCCGATGTTGTTCCCGGGATCTGCTGGAGCCACTCGCCTAGCTTGGGAGTCACTGCACCTAGTGCTCTGATTACCACGGGGACCACCGTTACCTTCACCCTCCACATCTTCTCGAGCTCTTCTCTGAGCCCTTGGTATTTCTCCAGCTTCTCGTGTTCCTTCTTCCTGATGTTGCTGTCATTCGGAACCGCTACATCGATCACTACGGCCGTCTTCTTCTGTTTGTCTACCACCACTATGTCCGATTGGTTAGCCACCACCATTTTGTCCGTCTGTATCCAGGTACTCGCCATAGGACGAGGGACATATCTATCTATCTATCTATCTATCTATCTATCTATCTATCTATCTATCTTATCTATCTATCTATCTATCTATCTGTGTGTGTGTGTGTGTGTGTTCTGTGAAACAAACTAACATCTAAGTGCTTTCTATCTAATAATCACACTCTGATGAACACATCAGTATCTTGCCTAAGAATGATTTGGCAGACAGACTAGAGCAACCAGGGTTCGAACCTCCAACCTTCCAATTTGTAGATGATTTGTCACAACCAAACCCAAATAACACTTACACAACTAACTAACTATGCAACCAATAGCTAAATAAATAATAATAATACAACAAACAGACAAAAAAACAGCAGTGGTAGACAGCATCTTTTAGTCAACTGTTTTTTTTTTGGTCTTAAATTGAGAAATTACATTCAAAAGCATTTAAGTTTACTTGAAATGTCTTAAACAGGACACTAGAACCAGAAGAAAAAAACACAAAACAAAAAAGGTCAAAGGTAAATCAAATTTTCAACTTTTAGACTGCCTATGAAAAACAAAATCTGATAGTCTGAGTGAATTTTAATGCTGTTCATACAAATCCCCCAGGTCAGCAAATAGTATCTGAAAATATTGATTTGTAGGCCTAATTAATGTCCAAATTATATTTTCAGCCGATATATATTTGTAAAATACTTTATTATATTTCCATCAACAAGCAGGCATCAGTGGGGATTACTCTAAATTTAATGTGTGGCAACAGTAAAAAAAAAAAAGAAGGGAAAAAAAAGAAAAGGTAGAAAGAAAGGTAAATAAAATAGAGGTAGGCATGTGAATGGATACCAGGAACTTCCACCTGTGTTTCATCTGTTCATTTACCAGCTGAAAGACTAGTGGAGCCCTCAGTCCAGATGTTTTTCTTCTTTTGCTGTCAGACAGAGTCCTAAGGTGGATAATTCAGAATATCTGTTCATTTTCAACTGGAGATTTTAGAAAAAAAACATTTAAACTTCTATAATATTAAACACAATCATAATAAGCTACTAATGTTACTGGTGTTACTATTTGGGTCTTTTACTAGAGATTAAATAAAATAATTTCTTCATAACTAAACTATAAATACACCCCCAGTAACTGCATATCAGAAAGTTTTACACTAGTGCCAACATATTTCAAGACACATATTAACAGTGAGGGAAAAACTCACATTTCAACAAATTAACTGTACTAACCTCTCTCTGCAGTTTTTGGTGATCTTGTCCATGATCATCACCTGGACTACTGGGAGATCGTGGGTCACTGTGTTCATCGCCATGCATGGGGAAAAACCTAATACCACAGGAAAAAATGACATCGTTTGTCGTATAGAGTTGGAAAATTTTGGGGTCAATTTTGAAATAAAATCAATCAATTTTAAATTCAAGTGGAGACTTTTAGATTTTATTGAGGAGTTTCAACAATATGAAATATTGAAATACTATAATAGCTACTTATCATGCTACATCCTGTATGCTTGTATGATTATTGTTCTACGCACCTTTGAAAATATCCAGATTTGAAAAACCACCAGGCTGCAGCCCCAATGACATTCAGGAAAAGAAAAACAGCAAATGAGGCCCAAGCAGCCGAGCATGTTCCTGCAAAGACACAGGTAGTGAGAATATGAAATGATCTATTGTTCTCTCTCACTTACCTGGCATTTAGTTTTATATTTCACATTAAGATGAATCTGTATTCAAACACCATGCAACATCTGTACCAAAAACATTCAAAAATGTCCCTGTACTGACAAGTTCTGATGCACAAAAGTAAATGAAACAAACTTGATATGATCATGAAAAGAATCACAAGATAGGACATGGTCTGAGCTTCCATTGGTGGAACTGAATTGAATATGATCCTATACTGCACTGGGTAAGGCATCCATTATTCAATAACTTGTCTGTTTTGTGCTGACTTTAGGGTAAGGCAACCACTTCTCTAAACTAGCTGCTTACCAAAGAAATCTGTCTAGATGTTCAAGTTTCCTTTGACAGGAATGGACAAAAAAGAAAACAGAATAACAACACACAAAAGCTCAGAAATCACACAAAAAAAATTCAGATTTGGACAAACTGCACAGCTAAATCCAAGCTGACCTCACCTGATGCCACATGCACATAGAGCTGACTATGTTTACTTCAATATGCATTAGACGCTTCACACTGATAGAGGCCATTTAGATCACAGGTCAGACTCAGCAGTTGTAGCTTTGCACCATCTACTTTGACAGCAGACTGCAGCAAAGACTGGGCAGATCTGGAAAAACATAAACGAGGCTCAACATAAAATGTAGAGATAGGGCAGAAAAATGCAAGATATGCCAAAAGTCCAATGAATTTCAATCAATTCAATTTTAATTGAAATACATTTTTTTGTGAAGACATTCTAAGTTTGGGTAAAGTTTTCTACCACACTAGTCTAAGGAACTTGGAAAGAAAAAGCATCTGGAAGGGATTTTAAAACTGGATTACAGAATACTTTGAACAGAAGTGGTGGCGCCTTTCATTGTGCCAAAAAGAACCAGCCCCACCACTTCTGTTCAAAGAAGGTCATTCACAGTTGACATAGATGGCTTCTTTCATCTTCTGTGGATCACTGATGCTAAAACTCTTAAAAATAACTTAATGAAGCTTTAGAGGCACTTAAAGCAAAACTGTTTAGATGCATAAACACTGCATTTACCAGGAATTCCTCACATGTAATGTATAAGTAGTGAACTGGAGAGAGAGAAGCCAAGCACTGCTGAGTCACACTGGTGAATATGCATAATGAAATATTTAGTGTAAAAAGACTGTTTTGCAATGTGAAAAAAAATGATTATGTCATTTGTAATGTCTGGACTTTAGCGTTGTTGTTTTGAAAGAACAGATTGCAGATACAAGTGGAGGAAATTAAGGGTGACTGGCCTCTCCCTTAGATACAGTAAGGACATCAGCTATTTGGTAGAGGTTCAGAGTAGTGCTGCTACTCTGCTACACATCAAAAGGTGCCAGTTGAGGTGATTCAGGCATCTGACAAGGATGCCTCCAGGGCAAAGTGTTCCGGCTATGTCCCACTGGAAGGAGGCAAAATGTGGAACACGCTGGGGCGATAATATCTCTCAGCTGGTCGGGAACGCCTTGGCATTCCCCTTGACAAGCTAGAGGGAGGTTGCTGTGGTAAGGCAGGCTCAGCTTCTCTGTTTAGGCGGATGCCCCAGCAACACAGCCCCAGATAGGTGGAAGAAAATGGATGGATGTATGTTTCTTTTTCATGAATCAGCATTTCATTTAACTATGTCCTTATGTTCAATATGAACTGTGCACACATCATGGAAATAACCTACCCTGAAAAACAGGCAAGTCTGTATCACACCTGACCAAATAGTTATATATTTAGTGCCCACTGTTTTATACCCATAAATAAGTCCCATTTGATCATGTCTGAGTGAACGTGTTACCCTCATAGTTGAACGAGACATGACCGATTGGTTTTGATTTGAGAGTAATTAAATGAAACCATCTTTCAAAACTCTTTTTAGCTTTTGCCTGCTGAGCTAAACCAGCTTACACAACCCTCCAGGGTTCCTGGAGCACCAGGACAGCACAGGTACGAAGTACTGCCCAAAGGGGTAATCCACAAACCAAGTTCAATGCAGTCAGGCTTTCTTTTTATTAGCTGGTTTAACAAAACCTAAAACCCATGTTGGAGATGAAGGTTACCATAATAGTGTTCATCTACTTTCTCTGTCTGCTGGGCTTTATGCTTCAGACTTCATGTGTCCTCACATAAATTTGGTCATGTGACTCTTTTTCAACAGGAAATGATTCCCTACGCCACCTACTCCAATCAGCTGTTATCAGTTAATAATGAAAAATCTCAAAAGAACATAAAATACAACACTAAAAGTAAGACAATGTTATGAGTTTGACATAAGTCGCCACAGTGATTTACCCAAAAAGAAATACAGTTTCATGAAGTAGTTTACATTTTACACACAATTAACCTTCACTTGTGGCCCGTTTGTACCTAATTGTGTACAGGAAATCTACATATATATCTATATATACACACACACAAATAGGGCCAATGGGGTGGTCGTGGCTCAAGAGTTGTCAGTTCATCTTGTAATCAGAAGGTTGCCAGTTCGAGCCCCGTCTTGGACAGTCTCGGTCATTGTGTCCTTGGGCAAGACACTTCACCCGTTGCCTACTGGTGGTGGTCAGAGGGCCCGGTGGCGCCAGTGTCCGGCAGCCTCGCCTCTGTCAGTGCGCCCCAGGGTGGCTGTGGCTACAATGTAGCTTGCTATCACCAGTGAGTGAATGTGTGTGTGAATGGGTGAAAGACTGGTTGAGTAAAGCGATTTGGGGTCCTTAGGGACTAAGTAAAGTGCTATACAAATACAGGCCATTTACAAATGAGAAATGAATCATGGATTTTGGTCTTAAAATCACGATAGGGAAACTCCTGAACAAAATGCACTTGAAGTAAAAAGGCAAAAACAGCTAGAGTAAAACCTCGGGGGTGTTTCAAGCTTGACTAAATCTGTTCAGTGAAGCTAAAAAACATTACAGCAAGCATTACTGTCAGAGCCAGTAATGACTCTGACAGCCTGCAGTAATGACAGTTTTTGCCATAGGGAATACAGTAAAATGTGAAACTGCTCACAGTAACTGCTAAAAACTAAACAGCTTAAATAAATACCTTAAATGTTTGTTTTGTTGATTGTTATCTGAAGAACCAACCATGACTTATTATAGCATCTACTTGAGCTGAACGTCCATCCATAATCCCTCAATAGAATAGAAAAGCTGTTTATTGTCAGTGTACATATGTATATAAATTGTGGTTGCACCAGGCCAAATATAAATAGTAATGCAGCAGGAATAATCAACAGATAAGAGAGAATACAAAAAAGAGGTATACAATACAAAGGCACATACTATGTGGGGGATAGTGTTTGTTTACAGTCTAAATAGCCCTGGGGAAGAAGCTGTTTGTGAGTCTGGATGTTTGGAACCTGATTAACCTGAGGCGCCGTCCAGAGCGCCTGTGATGGACTTTGTTCTCCTGAGACAGGAGGATCTGGCAAAGGCCTCCATGGGTGGCAGAGGGCAGCCAATGATTTTTCAGGTAGTGTTAATTCCCCCTTGTGCAGCCTACCACCCAGCCAGTCGGAGAGCACGCTCTCCACTGAGGAGAAATAGAAGACCAGCTTTAGCTACTGGTTCAAAGTTATTCTTCCTCAGGATATGGAACAAGTGCAGCTACTGCTTGACCTTCTTTACCAGGGCAATGCTGTTGTGGGTCCAGGTTGGCAGAGATGTGGGTGCCCAGAAACCTGAAGTTGGAGACAAACTTGGATGGGGGCTGTCTGACTGATTGGGGCCAGGTGGTGATGGAACCTATGATCCAGGACCAGTTGGGAGGGGCATCTGAAGGTGATGATGAGATTATGGTGTTGAACGCTAGAGCATACTCACATAGCTCTTCCTGTTCTCTAGATGGCTTCGCGTTCTGTGAAGGGTGATGGTAAATTTGTGCTGTAAACTGTAAATTGGTGGTGGAGACAGGGAGGAAGGAGGTTTGTGATGTTTGTGATGTGCTGAGACACTATCCACAAGAAACACTTCATGACCACAAGACATGAGGAGTATGATTCTGCAGTCACTGAGGCTGTCTATTCCAGTCCTTTGGGGGATGGGAATGATGGTGGGGGCTTTCAGACAGATGGAGCCAGTGCCGTGATATGTTCACAAAGTTATAAGTTCAATTGACACTGGTTGGCTGTATTGCACACACCAATGAGAATTCACATCCTCTCAAGTCAAGAAAACTCCCAAACTGTCATATCCAGGTCACATTTATCTAATTTCACTAAAATTTGATGAGTAATTCTTGTGAACATAGAAAAGTGCCCATAAAATGACAGTTATGACCTTGACCCCAGTTTGAGTGAATATCCATTATGTGATAATTTTGTGAATATTTCACTAAAATATGAGCAATATTCTAGGAGTAGAGACTGTTGTGAATTGTGGAAGGACAAACACATGGCAGATGCCTCGTCATAGCATAACTTTCCATGTTAATGTATTTTTAACTACAGCTAAGGAGGAATATCTGGAAGACAAAAAGAACAAAACCTCAAAAACTTAGTAAAACATCTAAAAACAATAATACCCCAAACTTCTCTACTTGTAGATGTATATATTTACCTTAAATTATTTTATTTTTTTCAGAACCTACAGTTTAACCACAGTCTGTTCCTAAAGCGTGCATGTTCAGGAAACACCCATCAGCTAAAGTTTAAATGTTGCCTTCTTTAATTTTCCACAATTAACTCCCAACAACTTTATTATGTGTTATACTGTATATCACTAAATACAATACATCTTTTTGTTCCTCAGGGCTTTTTAAAAACAGGTTGCACAAGACAAACAAAGAGAAGCAAATTAAAGTTTCAGCTTAAATCATTATTCAAACTACTTTACCTGCTCCAGGTAAAGTTTGCGCTTGGGTTGGCTTCTGTCACACACTCAAATGAGTTCTCAGAAATTGCTCTAATGTTCACTTCTGTGGGAGGGACTGCATAAACAGAAAGAGAACAGTGTTAATTCTGAAATGAGGAAATACTAATGGTGTCAAAGTAATATTTCACATTTGCCGGAATCCTATCATGTAACACAAAACCATAAATTCTGGTTTCTTTTATTTAGTTTGAAGGAGTGATCCTATGCTACACATCGAAGGTTGCCAAGGGCTCACTTACAATCACCTTGTCTGAAAAAAGGATATTAATTTTTTTTTTTTTATGGAAAGTTTTGAGGATATTAAATTTTGTGTTCTTCTCAGGGACTTCCACCAGATACATAACACCGGACAAAACCAGAGGAACCTGTGTTCAGTTTCAAAACAAGCCTCTATTAGTTTTGCTTCATCCTCATTCCTCATGTGTACTGAATGGATCTTATGACTGTGGAGATCAGTGAAAATAATGGACTGATTGTCAGGCTTCACAAACAAGTTTGAGGCAGACTTTGTCACATGGTGTTTTGTCATGCTGGAAGTAGTAGACCAGAAACAAACAAAATAGGCATGGCTAAAAACAGACATCGTCAGCAGCTTTACTTTGCAGGATAGTGGTGTGCCCCCAAAATCATAAATGGTACCTCTGCTTTAAAACAACTGGATTGCTGAGCCATTTTCTGACTTTAGCTGCTGTAAGTTAATTCTGACCTGAACATATACATGCAACTGAAAAATTATTAAATGATGAATATTGGTAAGTTGATACCTGCGCTCATGTGAACAAAACTCATTTGAGGCAGCTGAAATATCTAGACAGTACAAATTGACTGGTAAAGAGTATTTGATACTGCCTTACGGGGCTTTTCCTGATTCAGTTCAACTTCTTTTTTTCAGTTCAATCTATGGCTGTTTATATCTGTATATCATTTTAATATACATTTTTATGGTCAAATAAAAAAAAATCTTTATTAAAAATGACACAAAAGACAAATAATAAACTCTATTAACAGCTGATACTCACAGTAGACCTGTATGCTGAAGGGCAGGGTTTCTTCTTTAGACATGGCGTCACTGCTGGTGACACACTGGACCTGGTGACCGTTAATCTCACTCGTAGGAACACCAAACAGAGAGCTGACTGTGGTAGTTGTATCGTTGTCATACTGTGTGGAGTTTGTTGTTGTCCTCACTTTGTCTCCCAAAGCACCAGTGAGCCACCTCACCTCTGCAGGAGGCTTCGATCCAGCAGCCGTGCAGGTAGCAAATAAAACCTCTTCTGTGCCCAAAGTGGGAAGATTGTCCTTGATGTTTGTGAAAGGAGGCACTAGGAGAGTTACAGCACAGAAGTAGGTCAACATGCAAGAAGAATGGTAAAAGTAACTCTGTCTCTGCCTCACATACAAACGCCCAGAATTTTGGGAATATTTTGTACATACCAATCACTATTAGAAGTATCTCAGTCTTCTGATTTCCACTGGGAAACAAGGTGAAGATGCACGTGTAGCTGCCTTCATCCTTCAGGGCAACATTGGATAACTGGAGAGTTCCATTTTTGTTGTTAAAATTCCCAATATATTTAAATCGATCATCACCTCCATTGACAAACTGCACTCCCTCTCTGGGTAGGATAGTTAGGAAATTGTCATTGTGAGGTTTTTCTCTTGTCCTCCTCTGCCAGGTAATCTGTGTCAGGTCATCATTGGTACCAGTGACATGGCACGGCAGGATAGCAGTACCTCCTTGAACCACTTTCACATTTCCACCAATCACCTGAAGAGCTGTAAAGTGAAATACTATTAAAGATCAGGCCAAATAAAAGTAGAAAGGAAAAAAAGAGTCTCTAAGAAGACTAAACCAAACTTTTCTTTCTTTGTGTGTGCTTGATTTCTTCGCTAAATCTTGAACTTATGTTTGGTAGTTCTTTTCAGACAAATACAGCGTTTTCCTCCCATAATAAAAATTCTGCCTTCAACTAAAGGATAAATCCCTAGGATAGTGATAATGTTCTTACTATATTTATCATAGCATGTATATATGCCTGTATGTAGCCTTCCTGCTCCCTAACCAATAGGTCGACCTGAACAAAACTTTGCACAAACACTGTGACACGGCCAGAAATTATTACCATCTATATGTTAAAAAGTCATTAAATCATTTGTTTTTCCATAAAGATTGTTTATTTCATAATTATTGTAACATTTCATGTTATGTTCTCTGTGTGCATCTTCTTCATGTGTCACATCCAATGTATGTTAGTCATCTGTAACTTAACAGTGACAAAAATTGGTATACTTGATGGAATTATGTTCGAATCACCACTGATTACAGAGTAATGACAAATGAACTGCAGGCATGACAAAACCTCTCTGCAGGTTTGGTTTTTCTAATGTTTTTAACCATTTTCTTAGGTGTTTAATCTACTTAATATTACTTTTGTTTATTAAATGATCAAAATAACAAGAACATACACTGAAATCTGTCAAGTAAGGTAACAACTCATGTCCTTAACAACATGTGAAACACTCAAGGTTGCATGCTCTAGTGGCCTGGGAAAATGACTCTGAAAACATACCCCACCTTAAATCTCCATGACAGAGGAATGTGAAAACAATAATCTGCAGCTTGATTCCCATGCTTTCAGTTTGAAGTCATAAGCAAATACATGTGCTCAAAACAATGTAAAACCAGATCCTGGTTGCAGTTTGGATGGATAATCAAAAAGCTAAACAATTTAAAGTCTTTCAGTTAGTTACATAAAAACTCTGCCCTGTAGTATAGAAATTAAGGAACATGTGACCAGTCGAATGAAGGATTCATATCTTGGGGTCACTGCTTGAATTCATCTTTCATTTATTCTTTTCATGATAAAATTTTATATACAGTGAACTTCAGTGAACAAGGCTCCTCAAAAACTCTCCTCACCACGAGAGTTACTGTTGAACTGTACACTCATTAACAAAGAGCTACAATCTACAAGTAAAACAAAACAAAACAACACAACAATGTAAAAATACAAGTACAAGTTAGAATGTGTAAAATCTCACTACTAGATGTCTGTAGGTTTCTTTCATTCATGAATAGGTTTTATTGAATAGGTTACTTACTTCAACTGATCAGCTTTGGATCGCGTTCAGAGTGTACAGAATACTGTAGCAAGACTTTACCTGGCACTAATAAGACGTCACATACTACTCCAGTTAATACTCCAGGCTTCTCTTCAGTGGTTGCCAGTCCAGTTTAGGTTTTATTTAAAAAAAAACCCAACAACTTCCGTGCTCTACACAGAGAAGCTCCCCAATATATCTCTGACCTGTTAAAATCTCATGCTTTAGACCTCAGATTTTCAGGTTAGAGGTTACTGTTGGTCCCACGTACTGGGTTCATGTGGGGATTAGGCTTTTCAGGCAGTGGCACGAGGGTTGTGTAATTCTCTTCTGTTTTCTTTATCCTGTACAAACTCCACTGAGTCTTTTAAAAAGCAGCTGAAGACATTTCTATGCAAACAAGCTTTTAATTTATTTTTTCATTGTTTCATATTATTATTTATATATATTTCTGGTTTTATTGTGAAGTCCTCATGATTTTTATCTGTGAAAAGTGCTATATAAATAAATTCTATTTACTTACTTCCTATAAAGGGGGATGTGTTATTTTGAAAGAAGCGATATGGATTTAATTGTGGTGTAACAGAAACAAAGCTAAAGATCACTAGGAGAGAAATAAGGAGAAACTGGGAGAGTAAAAGATGAGTTTAGTTTCAGCTGAAAAATGGCAACAAGCTCTTGTGTTGGTTTGTGATTGTAATGAGTGAAGCTGCTGAAATAAACAACAGAGGCTATGAGTTGAGGCTTAAGCTTTCTCTGGGTGGAAGCTACAGCCAGCACAAGTGAAACCTCTGAAGTGGATATAATATTGCTGGACAAAAGTAACATTTCTGTTACTTTTTTGGTGCTTGTTTTTTTCTTTTGTTTTGTTACTTTGTACAGCACTTTGGTCAACTTGTGTTGTTTTTTAAATGTGCTTATAAATACATTGATTGATTGATCGATCGATTGGTCGAGAATGTAGCCTAATTTGTGATCAAGCTCTAATCTTCTGAAAATAAGTAATTGTGACAATATCCAGAATAAATAAGCAGGTTTATGTTTTCATCTGTTAAAGCCCAGACAGTAGAGGAGGCTTTAGGTGAGAAGAAGGGGAAGATGCTGGTCATGTCTCTCCTTTGACTTCTCACTCCTTTGGTAATTTGTGACATTATGAAATATCAGATGAAATATTGTGTATTTTCTTAGGCATATTGGAACAGTTAGCTATGGAATACTACACACGTACAGTTTATGAGCTAGAAGAGGACTCTGTTGAGAATTTTACGTTAACTATGAAGGATGTTTTACAAGGCATGACGTGTATGATATTATAATGACTGGGCTTTTGAGCTGAGCACACCTAAAAGTTTAAACCTAGAACATAAAATTAAACCTCACAGGGCGCACATGTCAGGCACAAACACAGGTGAGCAAATCCATTGGTTAACCATTAGAAAGTCTACAAGTCGTCCAACCAAGAGGTCTCTTAGGACACAAAAGACAAGACATACAATAAACCTGCTGACCAGAACCTCTCCAAATATGGATAATATTTTCCCCCACCCAAACTCCAAATGTACACAGATGAGTGCCCTTTTGTATCAAAGACAGGACTGCTGCTTAATTACACTGTTAAAACTGCAGCTTATAATAAGCTAAAGTGTTACCTTCAGGTGCACAGTTAAAATACTTCAAATGTGAACGGACACTCAGGGGTTTCGGTGATTTCCTCACCTCGGTGTACTAATGTCCAAACTGTTCAAACTGTCTGTAAGGACAGTCATCAGTTCTGGGCGTCTGATTGTATTTTACATGTTTTTACACTTAGTCTAAGCTGATAAGGGGATCAGGCAAACACAGAAAAATTGAATGAAGCACAAATGAAGCTCCTTAAACGGATGCTCTTTTGTTGTGTTTATTTTGTTTGTTTATTTGTTTTTGTTTGGGGTTTTTTGTTTGTTTAAAATGCTTTTGTGCCATTGTGGTAACTGGTGATATCGGCTGATCACTCATTCAAATTCTTGTAGTGTTGATTTTTTTTTTAACTTTTTTTTACTGATTTAACACAGATTTTCTAAGGGAAAATAACGGCACTTATGGTGTTTACGTGTTTCCGCACTTCATTTATTTTATTTTTTGTATTTGGCAGGGGGTGTTGTGGTGCCTACCCTTGGCAACAGGCTGTGCCGCTCCCAGCACTCCCTAACCCCAAAACGTTGATCAAAGCCTGCTCAGAACTGCCTTCCACAAAAGCAGAAGTAATTAAAATAATAGCAATAAAAGATATCATACGTACCTTCTACTACATATGTGCACTGAAGCACCACCATCGGGAGCAGCAGACTGCTCATGGAGTCGCAATAACTTCCATCCACTGATCTTGTTAGAGTTAAAATGATATTCACATAAACCAACTTCACGGAGAAACAAATCATTAGGCAAAGATTTTCTGTTGCAGCGAAGTGGCATTAGGAAGGTACCTTAGTTAGTACCTACAACCAGTAGCGGTTTTTGATACGGGCGACGGGCGGTTGCCAGGGGCGGCATCGTGGGCATCGGCAATAAAAAAAAAATGCTCGTACTCATTCTGCCCCTACGTCAGGCCATCGCATAGTGGGAATGGTACAGGCACCGATCGGTTTTCTATCGCCCATTTGCTGGGAGTAAGGGCGCCCTCCGTTGAGGTGCGCCTGCTGCTTACACAGGGAGGAGAGGGCGGGGCGGCGGGGGATCCTCTGGCTGGCTGGAGCAAAATAAAAGAAAGTAAAAACAAACCAACAAACACGAAATTCTACGCGCGAAAAGTGAGCGCGAGAGCCCTCGGTGCGCCTGCTCGCTGCTGAAGTCAAAGTAAACTATTGTAATCTCCGCTACATACAGTCCAGTATATAGAGAGACGAGCCGACGAGGCTCCGGTTACAGCAGTGCAAGTAAACAACAATAAATATGAGAAGAGTAAGAAAATAAATATACACTTTAGGACTCGGGGTAAAGGGATCAATAACAATTTAAAATTTATAATTTACAGTTTGATGACTTAAAGATGATTTTTCGTTTTTATGGGCCATGCCATTTTGTTTGTTTGTTTGTTTGTTTTTTGTAACAGTATAAGCAATTAAAGGCGGTGGATTGGCTAATTGGTCATGATCGACTCTGGGCTGGACCAATTACAGCCGATGAGGTTGAACTTTAAAGTTCTGTATTGAGGTGAAAAGGAACGCAATTTGTCCCGTACTTCAGCTAGAATGAAAAAAAAAAGACACAAAGCTGGAGTTATTCTGTGTCTTTACGCTGTCAGCTGCCTCTTCTTCTGTCATTGTCTCTCCCTCCCTCTCGTGTTGCTACTTCAATCATGAAACTTATCAATGATCAGCTGATCGGCTTTTCTGTCGCAAGTCCCGTTTCTCTTGTTTGTTTATCGCATTGATAGTAGTAGTATTTATTTATTGTCATTGTCAAGAACAATGAAATTGCGTTTGGGGCTTCCATACAACCCAAAAAAAGAAGAAAATAATAAATACCCCTTAAAACCCAAGTGTACATATTTAACCCAGTGTGACTCCAATGCAATAAGACAATCCTTAGCAATAATGTTCGTAGAAATTCAGACAAAGACCTGAGAAACATGACAAAATACAACAATGCAACCCATTCAATATTATTGTACTGTGAGATATGATATCAGATATGATAGTTATCTATTTAAGAAAGAGGGGGGGGGCAGGAGGGGGAAGAGAATAAAGATATGATGCACCAATGCAGACCAGTTCATTGCTATTAAGAAGTTGGATATGGTTATTGTCCGTGAGAGGGGACATTTCCGGTAAGTACTGTTTAAGGGATAGTGTAGGTTTAAGTTTATTAGATTGATACCTATTTACCAACAAGATAGTGTACATCACTGTCACAACAGCATTTGTTTTTATTCAAAGGTTTTTCCTATAATTCCTTTTTTGTCCCAGTCCAGCCCTGGCAGGGCTCATGTTACAATGAAACAACGATAGATTTCCACAAGATCCATTGCAGGTTAATTTTAAGTTTAGTCAGCTCCAAGTGCTGTAATCTCTTCACTGCACCCGTTTTTGAGCACATTTTGTTATATTTTCTGACGTAAAACGCACTTCCGACCGCAGCCTCATAAAAGTACCACACTTCCTGTTCCTGCACAGCCTTTTGGGGCCATATTTACACAATCGTGAAGCAAAAAACAAAACGTGCACTATCATTAAATAGCGCTCATAGTCGTGGTTAGTTTAAGAGTGATTTATAAAAGATGTGCTTCCATCTAAACTAATATTAATATCGAGTGCAAAAAATTATGACCTATTTTTTTTTTGCGTTAAATGTTTGCCAATTAACATCAAATTGCTTGTGTAAGTAAATCTGCTATAAACCAACCAATATAAGCTCTTTTTGAAGATTTCTTTAGTGAAAAACATAACCTTTCTATTTTTCAGTTACAGAGGTTTATTAGAGACATTGATATTTCTCATGTATTTAATAGCAGAAATGTGGCTTTTTAGTGTACATAATGAGCAAGCGAATAAGGCAGAAAATAGGGTTTTTGATGGAAAATTGGTCTTGAAGCACACATAAATAGGAAGTGCAATTTTATTATGGTGGAAGCAAGAGAGCCGAAATAAAAGTGAAATCATCACAACGTACTATTTTCTACTACCTTATGATTGTTGTATTCAGTCATATTTATTCATAACTTTAGACTGCAGTAGTCAGTGTTTGTAAAGCACCTCTCTCAGGGTGCACTGTGTGATTAAGGGTGATATATATACACACACAGAGATAGGAAGTACAGAGATAGGAAGTGCAATTTTATTATGGTGGAAGCAAGAGAGCCAAAATAAAAGGGAAATCATTACAATGTTTTTCAAACATGAAGCATAGTTTTGGTCTTCTTTTGCTGTTGGTTCAGTGAACTTTGGTCACAGAGTGTCGAAACCTGGAATTTGGGAATCTGTGAGACGTCAGCTTTAAGCACCTGATGGTATTTAAAGCTGACTTGGGCCACTAATTTGTTCCAGTTTGTCTTAATCTGTTTTATAGGTTGCATCAAAAGATGCATTGTGTTGCAGGCACTCAGCAGTGACACTAAATAGAGAGTGACACACTGGACCTGGTGACCGTTAATCTCTCTCGTAGGAACACCAAACAGAGAGCTGACTGTGGTAGTTGTATCGTTGTCATACTGTGTGGAGTTTGTTGTTGTCCTCACTTTGTCTCCCAAAGCACCAGTGAGCCACCTCACCTCTGCAGGAGGCTTCGATCCAGCAGCCGTGCAGGTAGCAAATAAAACCTCTTCTGTGCCCAAAGTGGGAAGATTGTCCTTGATGTTTGTGAAAGGAGGCACTAGGAGAGTTACAGCACAATAATCAACATGAAGAAGAATGGTAAAAGTAACTCTGTCTCTGCCTCACATACAAACCCAGAATTTTAAATTTTATCATACCAAGCAAGTTTAGAGGTATCTCAGTCTTCTGATTTCCACTGGGAAACAAGGTGAAGATGCACGTGTAGCTGCCTTCATCCTTCAGGGCAACATTGGATAACTGGAGAGTTCCATTTTTGTTGTTAAAATTCCCGATATATTTAAATCGATCATCACCTCCATTGACAAACTGCACTCCCTCTCTGGGTAGGATAGTGAGGAAATTGTCATTGTGAGGTTTTTCTCTCGTCCTCCTCTGCCAGGTAATCTGTGTCAGGTCATCATTGGTACCAGTGACATGGCACGGCAGGATAGCAGTACCTCCTTGAACCACTTTCACATTTCCACCAATCACCTGAAGAGCTGTAAAGTGAAATACTATTAAAGATCAGGCCAAATAAAAGTAGAAAGGAAAAAAAGAGTCTCTAAGAAGACTAAACCAAACTTTTCTTTCTTTGTGTGTGCTTGATTTCTTCGCTAAATCTTGAACTTATGTTTGGTAGTTCTTTTCAGACAAATACAGCGTTTTCCTCCCATAATAAAAATTCTGCCTTCAACTAAAGGATAAATCCCTAGGATAGTGATAATGTTCTTACTATATTTATCATAGCATGTATATATGCCTGTATGTAGCCTTCCTGCTCCCTAACCAATAGGTCGACCTGAACAAAACTTTGCACAAACACTGTGACACGGCCAGAAATTATTACCATCTATATGTTAAAAAGTCATTAAATCATTTGTTTTTCCATAAAGATTGTTTATTTCATAATTATTGTAACATTTCATGTTATGTTCTCTGTGTGCATCTTCTTCATGTGTCACATCCAATGTATGTTAGTCATCTGTAACTTAACAGTGACAAAAATTGGTATACTTGATGGAATTATGTTCTAATCACCACTGATTACAGAGTAATGACAAATGAACTGCAGGCATGACAAAACCTCTCTGCAGGTTTGGTTTTTCTAATGTTTTTAACCATTTTCTTAGGTGTTTAATCTACTTAATATTACTTTTGTTTATTAAATGATCAAAATAACAAGAACATACACTGAAATCTGTCAAGTAAGGTAACAACTCATGTCCTTAACAACATGTGAAACACTCAAGGTTGCATGCTCTAGTGGCCTGGGAAAATGACTCTGAAAACATACCCCACCTTAAATCTCCATGACAGAGGAATGTGAAAACAATAATCTGCAGCTTGATTCCCATGCTTTCAGTTTGAAGTCATAAGCAAATACATGTGCTCAAAACAATGTAAAACCAGATCCTGGTTGCAGTTTGGATGGATAATCAAAAAGCTAAACAATTTAAAGTCTTTCAGTTAGTTACATAAAAACTCTGCCCTGTAGTATAGAAATTAAGGAACATGTGACCAGTCGAATGAAGGATTCATATCTTGGGGTCACTGCTTGAATTCATCTTTCATTTATTCTTTTCATGATAAAATTTTATATACAGTGAACTTCAGTGAACAAGGCTCCTCAAAAACTCTCCTCACCACGAGAGTTACTGTTGAACTGTACACTCATTAACAAAGAGCTACAATCTACAAGTAAAACAAAACAAAACAACACAACAATGTAAAAATACAAGTACAAGTTAGAATGTGTAAAATCTCACTACTAGATGTCTGTAGGTTTCTTTCATTCATGAATAGGTTTTATTGAATAGGTTACTTACTTCAACTGATCAGCTTTGGATCGCGTTCAGAGTGTACAGAATACTGTAGCAAGACTTTACCTGGCACTAATAAGACGTCACATACTACTCCAGTTAATACTCCAGGCTTCTCTTCAGTGGTTGCCAGTCCAGTTTAGGTTTTATTTAAAAAAAACCAACAACTTCCGTGCTCTACACAGAGAAGCTCCCCAATATATCTCTGACCTGTTAAAATCTCATGCTTTAGACCTCAGATTTTCAGGTTAGAGGTTACTGTTGGTCCCACGTACTGGGTTCATGTGGGGATTAGGCTTTTCAGGCAGTGGCACGAGGGTTGTGTAATTCTCTTCTGTTTTCTTTATCCTGTACAAACTCCACTGAGTCTTTTAAAAAGCAGCTGAAGACATTTCTATGCAAACAAGCTTTTAATTTATTTTTTCATTGTTTCATATTATTATTTATATATATTTCTGGTTTTATTGTGAAGTCCTTATGATTTTTATCTGTGAAAAGTGCTATATAAATAAATTCTATTTACTTACTTCCTATAAAGGGGGATGTGTTATTTTGAAAGAAGCGATATGGATTTAATTGTGGTGTAACAGAAACAAAGCTAAAGATCACTAGGAGAGAAATAAGGAGAAACTGGGAGAGTAAAAGATGAGTTTAGTTTCAGCTGAAAAATGGCAACAAGCTCTTGTGTTGGTTTGTGATTGTAATGAGTGAAGCTGCTGAAATAAACAACAGAGGCTATGAGTTGAGGCTTAAGCTTTCTCTGGGTGGAAGCTACAGCCAGCACAAGTGAAACCTCTGAAGTGGATATAATATTGCTGGACAAAAGTAACATTTCTGTTACTTTTTTGGTGCTTGTTTTTTTCTTTTGTTTTGTTACTTTGTACAGCACTTTGGTCAACTTGTGTTGTTTTTTAAATGTGCTTATAAATACATTGATTGATTGATCGATCGATTGGTCGAGAATGTAGCCTAATTTGTGATCAAGCTCTATTCTTCTGAAAATAAGTAATTGTGACAATATCCAGAATAAATAAGCAGGTTTATGTTTTCATCTGTTAAAGCCCAGACAGTAGAGGAGGCTTTAGGTGAGAAGAAGGGGAAGATGCTGGTCATGTCTCTCCTTTGACTTCTCACTCCTTTGGTAATTTGTGACATTATGAAATATCAGATGAAATATTGTGTATTTTCTTAGGCATATTGGAACAGTTAGCTATGGAATACTACACACGTACAGTTTATGAGCTAGAAGAGGACTCTGTTGAGAATTTTACGTTAACTATGAAGGATGTTTTACAAGGCATGACGTGTATGATATTATAATGACTGGGCTTTTGAGCTGAGCACACCTAAAAGTTTAAACCTAGAACATAAAATTAAACCTCACAGGGCGCACATGTCAGGCACAAACACAGGTGAGCAAATCCATTGGTTAACCATTAGAAAGTCTACAAGTCGTCCAACCAAGAGGTCTCTTAGGACACAAAAGACAAGACATACAATAAACCTGCTGACCAGAACCTCTCCAAATATGGATAATATTTTCCCCCACCCAAACTCCAAATGTACACAGATGAGTGCCCTTTTGTATCAAAGACAGGACTGCTGCTTAATTACACTGTTAAAACTGCAGCTTATAATAAGCTAAAGTGTTACCTTCAGGTGCACAGTTAAAATACTTCAAATGTGAACGGACACTCAGGGGTTTCGGTGATTTCCTCACCTCGGTGTACTAATGTCCAAACTGTTCAAACTGTCTGTAAGGACAGTCATCAGTTCTGGGCGTCTGATTGTATTTTACATGTTTTTACACTTAGTCTAAGCTGATAAGGGGATCAGGCAAACACAGAAAAATTGAATGAAGCACAAATGAAGCTCCTTAAACGGATGCTCTTTTGTTGTGTTTATTTTGTTTGTTTATTTGTTTTTGTTTGGGGTTTTTTGTTTGTTTAAAATGCTTTTGTGCCATTGTGGTAACTGGTGATATCGGCTGATCACTCATTCAAATTCTTGTAGTGTTGATTTTTTTTTTAACTTTTTTTTACTGATTTAACACAGATTTTCTAAGGGAAAATAACGGCACTTATGGTGTTTACGTGTTTCCGCACTTCATTTATTTTATTTTTTGTATTTGGCAGGGGGTGTTGTGGTGCCTACCCTTGGCAACAGGCTGTGCCGCTCCCAGCACTCCCTAACCCCAAAACGTTGATCAAAGCCTGCTCAGAACTGCCTTCCACAAAAGCAGAAGTAATTAAAATAATAGCAATAAAAGATATCATACGTACCTTCTACTACATATGTGCACTGAAGCACCACCATCGGGAGCAGCAGACTGCTCATGGAGTCGCAATAACTTCCATCCACTGATCTTGTTAGAGTTAAAATGATATTCACATAAACCAACTTCACGGAGAAACAAATCATTAGGCAAAGATTTTCTGTTGCAGCGAAGTGGCATTAGGAAGGTACCTTAGTTAGTACCTACAACCAGTAGCGGTTTTTGATACGGGCGACGGGCGGTTGCCAGGGGCGGCATCGTGGGCATCGGCAATAAAAAAAAAATGCTCGTACTCATTCTGCCCCTACGTCAGGCCATCGCATAGTGGGAATGGTACAGGCACCGATCGGTTTTCTATCGCCCATTTGCTGGGAGTAAGGGCGCCCTCCGTTTGCGAGGTGCGCCTGCTGCTTACACAGGGAGGAGAGGGCGGAGCGGCGGGGGATCCTCTGGCTGGCTGGAGCAAAATAAAAGAAAGTAAAAACAAACCAACAAACACGAAATTCTACGCGCGAAAAGTGAGCGCGAGAGCCCTAGGTGCGCCTGCTCGCTGCTGAAGTCAAAGTAAACTTTATTGTGATCTCCGCTACATAAGTACAGTATAGAGAGACGAGCCGACGAGGCTCCGGTTACAGCAGTGCAAGTAAACAAACAATAAATATGAGAAGAGTAAGAAAATAAATATACACTTTAGGACTCGGGGTAAAGGGATCAATAACAATTTAAAATTTATAATTTACAGTTTGATGACTTAAAGATGATTTTTCGTTTTTATGGGCCATGCCATTTTGTTTGTTTGTTTGTTTGTTTTTTGTAACAGTATAAGCAATTAAAGGCGGTGGATTGGCTAATTGGTCATGATCGACTCTGGGCTGGACCAATTACAGCCGATGAGGTTGAACTTTAAAGTTCTGTATTGAGGTGAAAAGGAACGCATTTGTCCCGTACTTCAGCTAGAATGAAAAAAAAAAGACACAAAGCTGGAGTTATTCTGTGTCTTTACGCTGTCAGCTGCCTCTTCTTCTGTCATTGTCTCTCCCTCCCTCTCGTGTTGCTACTTCAATCATGAAACTTATCAATGATCAGCTGATCGGCTTTTCTGTCGCAAGTCCCGTTTCTCTTGTTTGTTTATCGCATTGATAGTAGTAGTATTTATTTATTGTCATTGTCAAGAACAATGAAATTGCGTTTGGGGCTTCCATACAACCCAAAAAAAGAAGAAAATAATAAATACCCCTTAAAACCCAAGTGTACATATTTAACCCAGTGTGACTCCAATGCAATAAGACAATCCTTAGCAATAATGTTCGTAGAAATTCAGACAAAGACCTGAGAAACATGACAAAATACAACAATGCAACCCATTCAATATTATTGTACTGTGAGATATGATATCAGATATGATAGTTATCTATTTAAGAAAGAGGGGGGGGGCAGGAGGGGGAAGAGAATAAAGATATGATGCACCAATGCAGACCAGTTCATTGCTATTAAGAAGTTGGATATGGTTATTGTCCGTGAGAGGGGACATTTCCGGTAAGTACTGTTTAAGGGATAGTGTAGGTTTAAGTTTATTAGATTGATACCTATTTACCAACAAGATAGTGTACATCACTGTCACAACAGCATTTGTTTTTATTCAAAGGTTTTTCCTATAATTCCTTTTTTGTCCCAGTCCAGCCCTGGCAGGGCTCATGTTACAATGAAACAACGATAGATTTCCACAAGATCCATTGCAGGTTAATTTTAAGTTTAGTCAGCTCCAAGTGCTGTAATCTCTTCACTGCACCCGTTTTTGAGCACATTTTGTTATTTTTTCTGACGTAAAACGCACTTCCGACCGCAGCCTCATAAAAGTACCACATTTCCTGTTCCTGCACAGCCTTTTGGGGCCATATTTACACAATCGTGAAGCAAAAAACAAAACGTGCACTATCATTAAATAGCGCTCATAGTCGTGGTTAGTTTAAGAGTGATTTATAAAAGATGTGCTTCCATCTAAACTAATATTAATATCGAGTGCAAAAAATTATGACCTATTTTTTTTTTTGCGTTAAATGTTTGCCAATTAACATCAAATTGCTTGTGTAAGTAAATCTGCTATAAACCAACCAATATAAGCTCTTTTTGAAGATTTCTTTAGTGAAAAACATAACCTTTCTATTTTTCAGTTACAGAGGTTTATTAGAGACATTGATATTTCTCGTGTATTTAATAGCAGAAATGTGGCTTTTTAGTGTACATAATGAGCAAGCGAATAAGGCAGAAAATAGGGTTTTTGATGGAAAATTGGTCTTGAAGCACACATAAATAGGAAGTGCAATTTTATTATGGTGGAAGCAAGAGAGCCGAAATAAAAGTGAAATCATCACAACGTACTATTTTCTACTACCTTATGATTGTTGTATTCAGTCATATTTATTCATAACTTTAGACTGCAGTAGTCAGTGTTTGTAAAGCACCTCTCTCAGGGTGCACTGTGTGATTAAGGGTGATATATATACACACACAGAGATAGGAAGTGCAATTTTATTATGATGGAAGCAAGAGAGCCAAAATAAAAGGGAAATCATTACAATGTTTTTCAAACATGAAGCATAGTTTTGGTCGTCTTTTGCTGTTGGTTCAGTGAACTTTGGTCACAGAGTGTCGAAACCTGGAATTTGGGAATCTGTGAGACGTCAGCTTTAAGCACCTGATGGTATTTAAAGCTGACTTGGGCCACTAATTTGTTCCAGTTTGTCTTAATCTGTTTTATAGGTTGCATCAAAAGATGCATTGTGTTGCAGGCACTCAGCAGTGACACTAAATGCATTGAGGAAATCAATGACTGGTTGTGCCACAATTTTCTCCAGCTAAACAAAAACAAAACTGAGGTAATAGTCTTTGGCGCCAAAGAAAAACGATTACAGGTCACCAGAGAACTTCAATCTATACATCTAAAAACCACAAACCAGGCGAGAAATTTGGGTGTAGTGATGGATGCAGACCTAAACTTAGAAAAACACATTAAGACAATAACAAAGTCAGCTTACTATCACCTCAAGAATATTTCAAGGATAAAAGATCTGATGTCTCAACAGGACCTGGAAAAACTAGTCCATGCATTCATCTTTAGTAGGCTTGATTACTGTAACAGCATCTTTACAGGTCTACCTAAAAAATCAGTCAGACAACTACAGCTCATTCAGAACTCTGCTGCTCGAGTCCTCACTAAGACCAAAAAAGTGGACCACATCAGTCCAGCTCTGAGGTCTTTACACTGGCTGCCTGTCCGTCAGAGGATAGACTTTAAAGTTCTGATGCTGGTCTATAAAGCTCTGAATGGTTTAGGACCAAAATACATCAGTGACCTCCTGACCCAGTATGAACCTTCCAGATCCCTCAGGTCATCTGGATCCGGTCTTTTATCAGTTCCCAGAGTCAGAACCAGACACGGAGAAGCTGCATTCAGCTTTTATGCTCCTTATATCTGGAACAAACTCCCAGAAAGCCTCAGATCAGCTGAAACACTCAGTTTATTTAAATCCAGGTTGAAGACTCACCTGTTCTCAGCTGCATTTGAATAAAGCACCAAATCCACACTTTTAAGCTTAAATTTCAAAACTTACATTTAACTACTGATTTTATCTACTGTTCTGATTTTATCTGTTTTGATTTTATATACTGTTTTGTTTGTTTGTTTGTTTGTTTGTTAATTAGTTAGTTAGTTTATTTGCTTGTTTTAATCAATTTTAAATCATGCTTTTTATTTGTTCTTGTTTCTAATGTCTCTGTAAAGCACTTTGAATCACCTTGTTGTTGAATTGTGCTATACAAATAAACTTGCCTTGCCTTGCCTAAATTATTCTTACTTGCAGTAACACCACTATTTTCTATGGGCATAATGTCATATCCTGTTTTTGTGTGTGTGTGTATATATATATCACTCTTTAATCACACTTCACAGTGCACCCGTCACGAAAACACTTATATGTGAGTGGTGCTAGTCAATCAATCACTGACTACTGCAGTTTAAAGTTATGAATAAATATGACTGAATACAACAATCATAAGTTAGTAGAAAATAGTTAGTAGAAATAAAGCACAAAGTTTCAGACAGCAGAGTTTCCATGACT